ACTACTTTTGGGTGTCAGGGAAAATGTATGGAGTAAAAAGTACATTATTTTCTTTAGGAATGTAGGGAAGTAAAAGTTTTCACGAATATAAATAGTAAAGTAAAGTACAGATACCCCCAAAAAACGACTTACAGTGGCTTGCGAAAGTATTCACCCCCCTTGGCATTTTTCCTATTTTGTTGTCTTACAACCTGGAATGAAAATTGATTTTTGGGGGGTTTGTATCATTTGATTTACACAACATGCCTACCACTTTGAAGATGCAAAATATTTTTTCTTGTGAAACAAACATCAAATAAGACAAAAAAACTGAAAACTTGAGCGTGCAGAATTATTCACCTCCCCCCAAAGTCAATACTTTGTAGAGACACCTTTTGCAGCAATTACAGCGGCAAGTCTCTTGGGGTATGTCTCTATTAGCTTGGCACATCTAGCCACTGGGATTTTTTCTCATTCTTCAAGGCAAAACTGCTCCAGCTCCTTCAAGCTGGATGGGTTCCGCTGGTGTACAACAATCTTTAAGTCATACCACAGATTCTCAATTGGATTGAGGTCTGGGCTTTGACTAGGCCATTCCAAGAAATGTAAATGTTTCCCCTTAAACCACTCGAGTGTTGCTTTAGCAGTATGCTTAGGGTTATTGTCCTGCTGGAAGGTGAACCTCCGTCCCAGTCTCAAATCTGTGGAAAACTGAAACAGGTTTCCCTCAAGAATTTCCCTGTATTTAGCGCCATCCATCATTCCTTCAATTCTGACCAGTTTCCCATTCCCTGCCGATGAAAAACATCCCCACAGCATGATGCTGCCACCACCATGCTTCACTGTGGGGATGGTGTTCTCGGGGTGATGAGAGGTGTTGGGTTTGCGCCAGACATAGCGTTTTCCTTGATAGCCAAAAAGCTCAATTTTTGTCTCATCTGACCAGAGTACGTTCTTCCATATGTTTGGGGAGTCTCCCACATGCCTTTTGGTGAACACCAAACGTGTTTGCTTATTTTTTTTTGTTGAAGCAATGGCTTTTTCCAGTGCTAGTTAGCTGTATCTTATAATTTCAATACTAGATTCATTCTCTGATCCTTTGATTGGGTGGACAGCATGTCAGTTCATGCTACAAGAGCTCTGATAGGTTGGAGGACGTCCTCCGGAAGTTGTCATAATTACTGTGTAAGTCTATGGAAGGGGGTGAGAACCATGAGCCTCCTAGGTTTTGTATTGAAGTCAATGTACCCAGAGGAGGACGGAAACTAACTGTCCTCCGGCTACACCATGGTGCTACCCAAGCAGACTGGCCTTTTGAGGCTACTGTAGACTACTGTAGACCTGTGCTGTTGAGGCTACTGTAGACCTTCATTGTAAAACAGTGTGTTTCAATCAGTTATTTGGTGACATATTAATATATTTGGTATAGTTTTATCTAAAAAGGAGCCTTCACCCCTTTCAAACAGCCCCCATGGTTTAACAACACCCCCCAACCCTCCCAATTTGCCAGTTACCCACTGATATGAATAAAAGGGGCATACCTGCAAGAAAGTGGTAAATAAAGTTTGAAACAAGGGTCATAAAACATAGCCTTATATACCACATCTTCTGTCTGAAATGGGTATGAAAAACAGAAAGGGAGGCTGCATTTCCTCAGCCCAACACTCATCAGCTTTGTCTGTATGTCTGTCTGTCTGTTAGGTCACTCATCCACCCCACATGAGACAGACACCATCATCCCACGGAGGCCCTTTGATGTTCAAGGCCTCTGTCTGCTTTCACTCACAGGACAGGCAACCACAGGATATTAGTCTGTAATGACCCCCTGATAGGGACACACTCCCACACCACCACACCACAGCAGCACTGGAGTGATTTGGTGGTGATGACGCAGATAAACACACAAACATTAGACAGACACACATAGAAACACACACAAGCATGCACATCAACATGGACACACATACACACACGAGCCATGTAAAACAACACATTTTGCTGCACCTATCTGATGTATGTGACAATAAAATATATATTTGTGGTGTGTGTGTTGTTTGTGTGTGTGTGTGTGTGTGTGTGTGTGTGTGTGTGTGTGTGTGTGTGTGTGTGCATGAGTATCTGAGCGTGCAAACACACACATACACACCATAGCGTGCAAACACACAAGCAAGCCAAATGTGGCTCAAATACAGTAGAACTCCCCAACCCACAAAATGACAAATTAGCTTGAGTCACCATGCTTCTGTTGATGCATGTATTTTGTGACCTTAACCCCTAAACCTAACCCCAACTCCTAACCCTAAACCTAACCACTAACCCTAATTCTAACCTTAACTCTAAACCTAACCCCTAAGCCTAAACTAGTCCTTTTTACAAGTGAGGACCGGCAAAATGTCCTCACTTCTCTGAATTTTAGTTGGTTTACTATTCTTGTGAGGACTTTTGGTAATCACAAGGATACTAAAACATGTACACACACACTGTACACACACACACACGCATATGCATATACTATACACACACATACACACAAAATCAATATAAATCCCAGTCTGCCACTCAAACGTGGGAGGTGAATGTGACACCTGAACGTTGAACCGCAGATCATTCAAATGAGAGGTTCCACCAACTGTTTGTTAATGGTTGGATTATGGATGTTCTGCTCTAATCCTGTTGGCTGTTCCAACGTTCTACCTGTAGCAGACATAAACACACCTGGGTTCAAATAGTATTTGTTTTCTTTCAAATACTTTCAGTGTTTGTCTGAGCCTGCCTGAAGTGCTAGATGGGCAGGGTTTGCACTTTTGCAAGTACTCCGTTGGTTCCATAGCGCCAGACAATCTCAATCAACCACAGTTTAAGTATTTGTAAGAAAATGAATATTAATTGAACCCAGGTCTAGTACATATAACCAGGTGAGCCCAAGAGACAATGCCTCTCCCCTTCTAACTCTGCCTGTTACCAACTACTGTTTGTTTATGGGATTAGCGTTATCTGGGAGCTACCCTGATCACCCTCCCAGGGGGATTAAGTCTGGTTCCTGTGTATGTGTGTGTGTGTGTGTGTGTGTGTGTGTGTGTGTGTGTATGTGTGTGTGTGTGAGTCATCTCTGTGCGCGCGTGTGTGTGCGCGCGTGTGCCCGTGTGCGTGCGTGCGTGGGTGTGTTCTCATGTGATTGTCTTCTCAGTGTGTGTGTGCACACGCTCATGTATGGACAGATGGGTCAAGTGCTTGCATTTCTCGTAGTCTGATAATGTCAGTTAAGGATGGCTCGTTGACATACTGACACACATGAGAGGATCGACAGAGTAAACATTTATCATAGGCTGAGCCAACTTTTGAAAAAGACCATCCCAAACGGCACCCTATTCCCTACATAGTGCACTACATAGGGAATAGGGTGGGTGCCTGACTATAGTGCACTACATAGGGAATAGGGTGTCATTAGGGACGCACACTGGGCGTTTCAAACTGATGCCTAGAACTTTGGGAAATGAAAATATGATTTTTTTTCCCATTGTGATGCCATCACAAAATACATGCATCAACTGAAGCATGGTGTCTCAAGCAAATTTGTGGGTTGGGGTTGTTGGTCCCCAAAAAGTCCTTACAATTATAGTAAGACATTGCTGATTCAGAGGGTTTGGGTTAAATGCACTTTTCAGTTGAACGCATTCAGTTGTTCAACTGACTAGGTATCCCCTTTCCCTTCCCTTTAGCTGTGTGTGTGTGTGGATCCAAGCAGGCACATCCACAGATAGGACTCTAGGGGCTCTGTGAGAAAAGTGCTCTTTTAGATTGGTAGCATTCCTGTTCTGTAAAGAATTTCCCATCAATTTAGCTAATATCTCGTTTTCTAATGTTGGAAAATTCCCCCTCCCCGCTCTTCTGCCTCCATCCTCCTGCTGTTGCACAAGCAGAATCTACTGGCGCCTAGCGGTAGTATGAGTAGTGGCACACTGGTTACTTTTTAAGTTGTATGTCGTCTCTCACGGTCTGGGAAGGGTTCAATTAGACTGGTTTTTAAGTAGGCCTACAAAAGCTGATGTTAGCAGAGGAGTTCAATTGTTACAACAGCTTAGATAACAGTTAGCTTGCTGATTTAGCCTACATCATCTACATTTGCTATGATCAGCTTACCTGGTTAAATAAAGGTTAAATAAATAAATAAATATGATCAGCTGATAGCCCATATACTGCCCTATCAGCTGGTAGAGCACGGCGCTTGTAACGCCAAGGTAGTGGGTTCGATCCCCGGGACCACCCATACACAAAAATGTATGCATGCATGACTGTAAGTCGCTTTGGATAAAAGCGTCTGCTAAATGGCATATTATTATTATATTATTATTATCTGTGGGCAGTAGCTTAGGCTAGGTAGCTTGCTTACAGTGGGATGAGTGTCTTTGAGCACCTGCTTCTCCAAAGGTATGTGCACAGCCCTGTATCCAAGTATATGTAAGCACCCACACACACGTGAATGATACATGCTTTAAGCCAGACATCCCAATCATGGAACATTACATTACAGTGGTTGGCCAGGCACTCTCAACGTGTTAACAGACCTGGTTCAATCTGTAGCCAATGCCTGGAGCGGTTTGGCAGGTGATAACACATAGCAGGTCTGAGCATGTTACTAGCAATCCCTGGAATTAGGCTAGTCTATAACACTACATAAACATTGGGAATTAATTACGCTTCCAGATGAGGTTAACAGTAACTACCTACTATAATCAAGCCAGAGATATAAAACTGTTTTATGTGTCCTGTCTCCATGAAACACGTACCCTAATAAATGATCAAATGAGTATTAGACTATAGAATCCAGCCAAATGTTCTGTGGGTCTATTCTATTCATTGTATTTCTATGGAGAAAAAAATTCAAAGAACCACAATACCACGAATCTTCGACAATATCCTCTTCTCTTGCCCCTCACTTTTTCCTCCCTGTACTGCTTGCCCCCTGTAGCTTTAAATGTTGAATTGAGTCCAAAAACATCATTGGATAATGTGGAGAGAGAGAGAGAGAGAGCTAAGACCTACCCCCCTGGATGTTTCACGTTAGGTTCTGCTGCTCCGGTCTCTTGCTTGTCAGTTATCTTTTGTGCTGTGGTTAGTGTGGATTCTCTTCAACGCATAGATAAGACCTCTCCAAATAATATTCAAGGTAGGTTTATTTAATATCTGTATTCACAGATGCAATGTCGTAGTGCTGGTCTATGTAAATAGAAAGTTTTTTACCATTACGCGGTCAATGGATGCGTTGCTTTTACGCGCACAAATTGCATCTTGCTTTACGTCTGTTGGAAAAGATAAAGGTGTCTGCAGTGTGCTGAATCTCTTCTCAAAACATGTTTAAATTCGGTTTAATCCTATTTATTTTTGTTTATTAGATTTCGTTTGACATGTATGTAGCCTATACCATTATATGTGGAATGCACAGGCAGTAAACGTATTTTTTGGTCTGTGGACCGTGGGAACTTTACAGCCCATGCCCATCCCAATGAGACATTATTGGGGTAATCAGCGTACGGCAATTAGGCTGGGTTTAGACAGGCAGTCCAATCTTTTGACCAATCCGATCAATTCTGAAAAAGCTCTGATGTGATTGGGGTAATTACCGGTCAATGGGCTGAATTGGAAATGTAGGCCTATGAGCACAAGACGTTGAAAATATGTCTTTGAACCAATTTTGATTACTGGGATGTAATTCCATGGCAATGTGCAGTGAGATACAACAGCTGTCATTATCATATTATTTCTAAGAACAGTTACAGACTTCTCTATATTTATCCTATTATATCCAGGCTATATTGAGGAATGTGTGTAGGCTATGCATTTTTTAGTAGTTTGTTTGAAACAGAATACTCAGAATACCAATTCTATGGTTTGAACCTTGGAACTTCAAGTTTATGTTGCCCCAATTTCATTGGCTACAGATTGAATTTGAGTTAACGTTTCCAGACAAGACCATTTGTTAAATGTTAACATATGACTCAAGGCGAGAAAAAGAAATCCCTTCTCAAGACACAAGACTCAAAGGAATGCGACCCGAATCACACTTAATGGTTTTCTAACATAAACATTGTCTGATCAAATACATTCACCACTCTGATTTTAGTTTCTTTTGACAAGGCATTATGTATGAAAGTAAATGCATTCCAGATTAAATTCCATACATTTTACACTGATTTCGTTCTGGAAACATGTGCAACTCAAATGTATTCCAACCCACTCACATTTCACCCCGACTGTGCTATGACGACGCTGGCGGTTGAAAGTGGCCTCATGTGCCAACTTTACGCACGCACTGTTATGACGATGAATGTCTAATATCGTTATCATGATTGACTCACTCTTTTTAACATAATTAAGGTAGTTAAGGAAAGTGCTTGACACATTTCACATGGCCTCTTTTTACGTACTCGCTAGCTCAGTCAACTTTTAGACCAAGTGGTGTTGTCACTGTGTTTTAAACTAAGTGCATGTGTCGCTATCACAATGTCGACTCTGCTCCACACTCCCCATAAACCCAATGTTGAATGCAGAATTAGTCACTTTAGCAAACGTTTTAAGGCACTTTTAATTGAAATGTTCTTGAATGTAGATAAATGGTTTGTTATTTTGTTTTTGTTTTTCATTATGTATTTGTAATTATAGTCTTACTGTACTGTTCTCACCCTAATGTCGTCTGTATTATTTAATTCACAGGAGTTGGACAATAAGCAGTTCAGTCAAGACCTCCAAACAGAGCACATGAGCACCCCCTGGTGTCAGTGACAAGCATAACACCTGTGATCAGCGACATGGTGGGGAAATAGAGCCAAGACTACCTGGCTCAGCTGCATCTAACATCTCCTTTACATGTGTCTATTAGATTATAGTTCTGTCATTCTATGGAGGTGTGAGTTTCAGAACTCAACTCTGATGCTTAGTGCCTCCATACCACAGAGAGTCCCCATACCAACTGGTATTGACCGGTAACTGAAGCATGACAAGTTCAACTATGCGTTAATTAATACCTAGAATAAGGTATTAAAGAGTTTTCCAAAGAGTTCACTAAAGAAGACTTAACCAACTGTACAGAAGCATGGAGATGGAAGCCTCCCGTGCTGTCTACGCTGGGGCCTTCCCCACTGAATCTATAGACTCTCTACCCACCAACACCTCCTCCTCTCCAAGCCTGCTCCAATTCTTCTGGGATTACCAGAACAATGATGTCATTGTGACCCACTACAACTACACAGGCAAGCTCCAGACAGACCGGTATCGTGAGGGGTTAAAACCTGAAGCCATAGCCTTCCTGGTAGTGTGTCTTCTTATCATCCTGGAGAATGCTGTGGTTCTAATAGCCATCTGGACCAATAAGAAGTTCCACCTGCCCATGTACTATCTCCTAGGTAACTGTTGTTGTTGTTGTTTTTGTGCTACATCCACTCCCCTCTCTGCAGAGGACAACTTTATTACTATGACTATATTGTATATAACTTCCAAAAATGTAATGTTACAATATGACATTTTTTCCACCATATGCAATTCCATTAATTTTCAATTTTTTCTTCCTAGGTAACCTGACTCTGTCGGATCTGCTGGCCGGTGTCACCTACATGGCCAATATCATCATGTCGGGTCCTAATACACTGAGACTAACTCCAATACTCTGGTTTCTGAGGGAAGGAGGCGTCTTTATTACATTAGCCGCCTCCGTCATCAGCCTACTGGCCATCGCTATAGAACGCCACATTACCATGGTGACAATGAAACCGTACCACGGGGCGAAGAAGGGTCGGATGCTGGCTCTGATCGGGGGGAGCTGGGCGTTAGCAGGGCTGCTGGGGGTGCTCCCCGTCCTGGGCTGGAACTGTATGGGTCGTCTGGACCGGTGCTCCACGGTTCTCCCGCTCTTCGCCAAGTCTTATATCCTGTGCTGCGTGTCCGTGTTCAGCGGCGTGCTCCTCGCCATCGTCGTTCTCTACGCCCGCGTCTTCCGTATTGTGCGCACTAACACCCAGCGCCAACGCCTCGGAGTTGCAAAGGGAAGTCTTCGCAAAGGCCTCGCCAGGAAATCCCAGAAGTATATGGCGCTTCTCAAGACGGTCACTATTGTCCTCGGCGTCTTCATCGCTTGTTGGTTGCCGCTCTTCCTCCTCCTCGGCCTAGACTCATTCTGCCCCGCCCGCCACTGCCGACTGCTCCTCAAGGCAGACTACTTCCTGGGCGTTGCCATGGTGAACTCGCTCCTCAACCCCGTAATATACACCCTGACCAGCAAAGACATGCGTCGCGCCATTTTAAAACTGCTCTGCCGCCCGTGTCTCATAACCAAGGACGGGCAGGTGAAGAGGATGGGGGTGCCGTTCCTGGAGTGTAGCTTCAGTAAGACGGAGGTGGCATCGCAGAAGCTGGAAGGCCTGGAGACGACGATCTCCTCTGGGAACATCATCACGGCTCAGTCACCCATAAAGGCTCTCTACCCCAAGCTCTTCAAGGTCTAAAGAGCCTACAGTGGATATCTCTGTGATGGACAGGGAACTCCCTATAGAAGATGGACAACATAAGTGCTCCGTATGGCCTCCTGATAAGACAGGCCTGAGGGACCCTATGGGCAGCTCTGTGTTTGAGAGAGTAAACCATAGGGCTTTGTCCCTGCAAGTAATTTTATTTCTATGGAGTGAGCTTCCTATTGAAGTGGTGGACAACAGGAGTGCTCAATATGGCCACCTGAAAACTGCATCACTTCCTGTTTGGCAACTCTACTCCGATGGCCTCCTGCAGACTAGCCTACATCTATAGCACTCTTCTGGCCAATGAACTAAGCATAGGAGCAAACCCTCAAAAAGACAGGGGAATGATCTGTGATTGCGACAGATACTGCTACATGTGTTTTTGATGAGAGCATCAAGTTTAGACATATCTCTCGCTTCAGCAAGTCTGTAGTGGTGCGCTTGCAGCAAGATCACCCCATCAAAGGACTGATGTTGTAAGAATAATGACAAAACATCAAGCCAGGTGGAAGAAATCTTCCATAACTATTCACAAAAACCTTCCGTATCTCATTTGCACTAAGTTAACTCTGCATTGAGAGACCATTGAAAGCCATGGATTTAGATTCCATGTTATAGTTTGCTAAGTGTCAAAACAGTGGACATTCTGTTCTAGAACTAAAAGACTATTGTAACTAAAGACTGTAAACTGGACATTCCAACCATGTTGAGTTGTTGTGGCGAGTGTGCATCGGTTTACTTCACCCAACGTTTTCTATGTTTTTTTGTTGTTTTAAATGCCTTAAAGAGGGCATAATATGGACATGATGATAATATGCCTGTGGACAACTGGACTTCGCTGGCTCGAAGGTCCATGTTGTACCCGTCTGTGTCCCAAATGGCACCCTATTCCCTATATACTGCACTACTTTTGACATTTGGGATGCGGCCCGAGACTCCGGTTGTGATAACCCCATACAGCTACACAGTGTGCCCAAACAGAAGCCTATACAGGAAGTGGATGGTGTGTTGTCCACCCACCAGTTGCTCTTTAAAATACAAACACAGAATGGAAACCGACACATGCACCTAAACGTTGTGGGACGTGGGAGGGAGAAGTCAAACAATACTATGATCACAGGATGCTGGTGAGGGGAGGACGGCTCATAATAATGGCTGGAATAGAATCAATGGAATGGTATTAAAACCCATATAAACCAAGTTTGATGCTGTTCCATTAATTCTGTTCCAGCCATTACTATAAGCCCCTCCTCCCCAATTAAGGTGCCACCAGCCACCTGTGACTAAGATGATAATTGGAGGAGAAAGTCTCCACAATGTTTTAGTGACAACAAACTACCGTTGTTGGTTCCTGATTGGAATTCATATTTTAAATGACATCACATCCACTACAATAAGAATGTCACCATGAACCCAACTACCTAAAGCTCTAATCAGCGATGGACTTCATGCAGTCATGTTCACTTCATGTTCCTCTTGTGTTATTGTATCGATAAGAACCATCTCTTGCACTTGGGGGTCTCTGCTTTGAAGACCATGTTAGAACCAATAAAACAACAGGTCACAGGCCTAATGCCTACATCTATGCAAACAAGGTTACGTAAATCCTAACCTGCTAGTCGTCGTCATGCAGCTGCATTGGCTGTTTGGTAACGTTAGACAAGAACGTGCTTGTACGCAATAAATCAAGATTAAAGTGGGAAGATACACAGATGTATACAGTGCAATTATAAGTTACAAACCTATCGACACATCCGTTATTACTGGCATTAGAGAGGGTTTTCCTATACAGTCTATGGACCTGAATGTATATTTTTCTACATTTAAACAGGTAATGTCATCTAGCGTTTAAAAAATAAAACGTGTACAGTTCTGTACATGGATGAATGAGATGGTACACCATACTTTTGTACTGTATGTTGTGTATTGAGCAATTTATTTTTGTATTTCTAAAGGAATTTCATATGGCTTGTACTTTACTGTAAAGTATATGCTTTTTGTACTACAGTAAAAATATCTCTACCATTATTAAAACAACTGTTTTCTGAAAAATCTGATTATAAGGTTTGTGTTCACTCTCCAGGAGTGTGCATGTATAGGTGTGCATGTACAGTGTCTTCAGAAAGTATTTACACCCTTTGACCACATTTTGTTGTTACAGCCTGAATTTAAATTGAGATTTTGTGTCACTGGCCTAGACACAATACACCATAATGTTAAAGTGGAATTATGTTTGACTAATTCATTCAAAATGAAAATCTGAAATGTCTTGGCAAGCCTAAATATGTTCAGGAGTAAAAATGTGCTTAACAATTCACATAATAAGTTGCATGGACTCACTGTGTGCAATAATAGTGTTTTACATGATTTTTGAATGACTACCTTATCTCTATACCCCACACATACAATTATCTGTAAGGTCCCTCAGTCCAGCAGTGAATTTCAAACACAGATTTAACCACAAAGAAGGGCACCTATTGGTAGATGGGTAAAAAAAAAAAGCAGACATTGAATATTCTTTGAGCATGGAGAAGTTATTAATTACAATTTGGATGGTATATCAATGCACCCAGTCACTACCAAGATACAGGTGTCCTTCCTAACTCAGTTGCCAGAGAGGAAGGAAACCACTCAGGGATTTCACCATGAGGCCGATGGTGACTTGAAAACATTTCCAGAGTTTAATGGCTGTGATAGGAGAAAACTGAAGATGGATCAACAACATTGTAGTTACTCCACAATACTAACCTAAATGACAGAGTGAAAAGAAGGAAGCCTGTTCAGAATAAAAACATTTCAAAACATGCATCCTGTTTGCAAAAAATGTGGCAAAGAAATCAGTTTTATATCCTGAATACACATCGTTATGTTTGGATCAATTCTAACACAACACATCACTGAGTACCACTCTTTATATTTTCAAGCATGGTGGTGGCTGCATCATGTTATGGGTATGCTTGTCATTGGCAAGGACTAGGGAGTTTTTTAGGATAAAAAGAAATGGAATAGAGCTAAGCACAGGCAAAATCCTAGAGGAAAACCTGGTTCAGTCTGCTTTCCAACAGACACTGGGAGACAAATTCACCTTTCAGCAGGACAATAACCTAAAGCACAAGGCCAAATCTACACTGGAGTTGCTTACTGAGAAGACAGTGAATGTTCCTGAGTGGCCTAGTTACAGTTTGGACTTAAATCGACTTGAAAATCTATGGCAAGACTTGAAAATGGCTGTCCAGCAGTGATCAACAACCAACTTGACAGAGCTTGAAGAATTTTAAAAATAATAATGTGCAAATATTGTACTATCCAGGTGTGCAAAGCTCTTAGAGACTTACCCAGAAAGACTCATAGCTGTAATTGCTGTCAAAGGTGATTCTAACATGTATTGACTCAGGGGTGTGAATACTTATGTAAATGAGATATTTATGTATTGCATTTTTTTTTTGTGCAAAAATGTCTGAAAACATGTTTTCACTTTGTCCTTATGTGGTATTGTGTGTAGATGGGTGAGAAAAACAACAATTTAATACATTTTGAATTCATGCTGTAACACAACAGAATGTGGAATAAGTCAAGGGGTATGAATACTTTCTGAAGTGGCTTGCGAAAGTATTCACCCCCCTTGTCATTTTTCCTATTTTGTTGCCTTATGCCAACATGGAATTAAAATAGATGTTTTGGGGGTATGTATAATTTGATTTACACAACATGCCTACCACTTTGAAGATGCAAAATATTCTGAAACAAACAAGAAATAAGACAAAGGAAACAGAAAACATGAGCATACATAACTATTCATTTTGCAGCAATTACAGCTGCAAGTATCTTGGGGTATGTCTCTGTAAGCTTGGCACATCTAGCCACTGGGATTTTTGCCCATTCTTCAAGGCAAAACTGCTCCAGCTCCTTCAAGTTGGATGGGTTCCGCTGGTGTACAGCAATCTTTAAGTCATACCACAGATTCTCAATTGGATTGAGGTCTGGGCTTTGACTAGGCCATTCCAAGACATTTAAATGTTTCCCCTTAAACCATTCAAGTGTTGCTTTAGCAGTATGCTTAGGGTCATTGTCTCCTCTGGAAGGTGAACCTCCGTCCCAGTCCCTCAAGAATTTCCCTGTATCTAGTGCCATCCATCATTCCTTCAATTCTGACCAGTTTCCCAGTCCCTGCCGATGAAAAACATCCCCACAGCATGATGCTGCCACCACCATGCTTCACTGTGGGGATGGTGTTCTCGGGGTGATGAGAGGTGTTGGGTTTGCGCCAGACATAGCGTTTTCCTTGATGGCCAAAAAGCTAAATTTTAGTCTCGTCTGACCAGAGTACCTTCTTCCATATGTTTGGGGAGTCTCCCACATGGCTTTTGACGAACACCAAATGTGTTTTCTTTTTTTTTTCTTTAAGAAATTTCTTTTTCTGGCCACTCTTCCGTAAAGCCCAGCTCTGTGGAGTGTACGGCTTAAAGTGGTCCTATGGACAGATACTCCAATCTCCGCTGTGGAGCTTTGCAGCTCCTTCAGGGTTATCTTTGGTCTCTTTGTTGCCTCTCTGATTAATGCCCTCCTTGCCTGGTCCGTGTGTTTTGGTGAGCGGCCCTCTCTTGGCAGGTTTGTTATGGTGCCATATTTTTTCCATTTTTTAATAATGGATTTAATGGTGCTCCGTGCGATGTTCAAAGTTTCAGATATTTTTTTATAACCCAACCCTGATCTGTACTTCTCCACAACTTTGTCCCTGACCTGTTTGGAGAGCTCCTTGGTCTTCATGGTGCCGCTTGCTTGGTGGTGCCCCTTGCTTGGTGGTGTTGCAGACTCTGGGGCCTTTCAGAACAGGTGTATATATACTGAGATCATGTGACAGATCATGTGACACTTAGATTGCACACAGGTGGACTTTATTTAACTAATTATGTGACTTCTGAAGGTAATTGGTTGCATCATATCTTTTTTAGGGGCTTCATAGCAAAGGGGGTGAATACATATGCACG